GTAGTAGTAGTAGTAGTAGTAGTAGTAGTAGTAGTAGTAGTAATAATAGTTGCAGTAGTAGTAGTGGTTAGTAGTAGTAGTGGTAGTCGTATTAGTAGTAGTAGTAGCAGTAGTATGAGTAATTGTAGTAGTCGTAGTAGTAGTAGTAGTAGTAGTAGTAGTAGTAGTAGTAGTAGTAGTAGTAGTAGTAGTAGTAGTAGAAGTAGTAGTAGTAGTAGTAGTAGTAGAAGTAGTAGTAGTAGTAGTAGTAGTAATAGTTGTAGTAGTAGTAGTAGTAGTAGTTAGTAAGCCGTAGTAGTAGTAGTAGTAGTAGTAGTAGTAGTAGTAGTAGTAGTAGTAATAGTACTAGTGGTAGTAGTAGTAGTCGTAGTAGTAGTAGTAGTATTAGTAGTAGTTCTAGTAGTAGTAGTAGTAGTAGTAGTAGTAGTAGTAGTAGTCGTAGAAGTAGTAGTAGTAGTCGTCGTCGTCGTAGTAGTAGTAGTAATAGCAGTAGTAGTAGTAGTAGTAGTAGTAGTAGTAGTAGTAGTAGTAGTCGTAGTAGCCGATGTCGTAGTAGTAGTAGTAGTCGTCGTAGTCGTAGTCGTAGTAGTAGTGGTCGTAGGAGTAGTAGAAGTAGTAATCGTAACAGCAGTAGTAGTAGTAGTAGTAGTAGTAGTAGTAGTAGTAGTAGTACTAGTGATCGGAGGAGTAGTGGTAGTAGCCGTCGTAGTCGTAGTCGTAATCGTAGTAGTAGTGTTTGTAGAAATAATGATTGTTGTAGATGTAGCGGTATTATTTTAATCAGTAGTAGTCGTAGTAGTAGTGGTAGTAGTAGTAGTAGTAGTAGTAGCAGTCGTAGTAGTAGTAGTGGTAGTAGTAGTTGTAGTAGCAGTAGTAATATTAGTAGTAGTAGTAGTAGCAGTAGTAGTAGTAGTAGTCGTAGTAGTAAGTAGTAGTAAGTAGTAGTAGTAGTAGTAGTAGTAGTAGTAGTAGTAGTAGTAGTAGTATTAGTAGTAGTAGAAGTAGAAGTAGAAGTAGTAGTAGTAGAAGTAGTAGTAGTAGTAGTAGTACTAGTAGTAGTAGTAGTAGAAGTAGTAGTAGTAGTCATAGTAATAGTAATAGTAGGCCGTAGTAGTGGTAGTAGTCATAGTAGTAGTAGTAGTAGTAGTAGTAGTAGTAGTAATAATAGCCGTAGTAGTAGTAGTAGTAGTAGTAGCAGTAATCGTAGTAGTAGTAGGAGGAGGAGTAGTAGTAGTAGTAGTAGTAGCCTAGTCGTAGCAGTAGTAGTAGTAGCAGTAGTAGTAGTAGTTGTAGTAGTCGTAGTAGTAGTAGTAGTAGTAGTAGTAGGAGTAGTAGTAGTGGTAGCAGTCGTAGTAGTAGTAGTAGTATAGTAGTAGTAATAGTAGTAGTGGTGAAGTAGTGTAGTATAGTAGTAGTCGCCGTAGTAAGTAGTAGTCCGTAGTAGTAGTACTAGTAGTAGTAATAGTAGTAGTCGTCGTCGTAGTAGTCGTAGTAGTAGTAATAGTAGTAGTAGTAGTAGTAGTAGTAGTAGTAGTAAGTAGTCGTAAGTAGTAAGTAGTAAGTAATAAGTAGTAAGTAGTAGTAGTAGTAGTAGTAGTAGTAGTAGTAGTAGTAGTAGTAGTAGTAGTAGTAGTAGTAGTAGTAGTAGTATAAGTAGTAGTAGTAGTAGCAGTAGTAGTAGTAGTAGTAGTAGTAGTAGTAGTAGTAGTAGTAGTAGTAGTAGTAGTAGTAGTAGTAGTAGTAGTAGTAGCAGTAGCAGTAGTAGTAGTAATAGTAGTAGGAGTAGTAGTAGTAGTAGTAGTAGTAGTAGTAGTAGTAGTAGTAGTAGTAGTAGTAGTAGTAGTAGTAGTAGTAGTAGTAGTAGTAGTAGTAGTAGTAGTAGTAGTATAGTAGTAGTAGTAGTAGTAGTAGTAGTAGTAGTAGTAGTAGTAGTAGTAGTAGTAGTAGTAGTAGTAGTAGTAGTAGTAGTAGTAGTAGTAGTAGTAGTAGTAGTAGTAGTAGTAGTAGTAGTAGTAGTAGTAGTAGTAGTAGTAGTAGTAGTAGTAGTAGTAGTAGTAGTAGTAGTAGTAGTAGTAGTAGTAGTAGTAGTAGTTAGTAGTAGTAGTAGTAGTAGTAGTAGTAGTAGTAGTAGTAGTAGTAGTAGTAGTAGTAGTAGTAGTAGTAGTAGTAGTAGTAGTAGTAGTAGTAGTAGTAATCATAATAGTAGCCGATCCAGCTCGCTGGAGGCCGCCTCGCGCCGCAGCCCTCTGCGTTGGGAAACCGAAAACGCTAACTGGGGCGATCGGGACGAGTGTTGCCAATCTCCCGCACCGCCCCGTTCCGATCGCCTCCAATTTGTCGGCGTAGGTGCGCTATCCGCGCCCCTGTCGCCTCCAAGCAGGCAAGAGATCGCCCGTCGTCCGGCCCCGAACAGCCTGGCCCGCCATTCTGGGGCGCTGGATATGTTAGGGGTGCCGATGGTGTTGCAATCGATCTCGCCATCGCTGGTTAGCATGCCCCGCTCGTCCTCGCGGATCTTGACGAGCCGATGCGCCGCGTGCGCGGCAGTGGTCGGGGTGGTGGGGGGGCGGGGGGCGACTGGGCTCCCGCCCCGAGGGGTCGCGCGGAGCCCCGCCGCTGCTCGCGCTCGCGCCCGCTCCCTTGCGGGGGAGCCCGCGGCTGGCCTTTGCCGGCGCCGCCGGCGTTGAGGAGCTTCTCCGCGTTCGCGACAACCTGCTGGGCCTTTGGCCGAGCAAAGGGCCTGGTGTTCAGGCCCAAGCCTACCGCGTGCTCCATCTCCACCGCTGCGCGCCGCCGGCCCGCGCGGCTCGGCAGCCCCGGCGCGCGCGCAGTCAACGAGGTGCACGATCATCTTGGGCCCCGGGGCCCGCCGCGCGCGCAAAAGCAATCCGCGCGTCGCTTCCGCCGCGCGCCCGCGCGCCCTCCCAGCGCTGACGCGCGCGCGGCCCATGATGCTGCCGGGCGCGCGCGAGCATGGAGCGGGCCCCTCTCGGAGCTCGCCGGCGCGCGGCTGGGCAGCCTCTTGGAGGCAGGGCCGGCCGCCCGCGGCGGCCCGCCCGGCGGCAGCTGGCGCATGGGGCCCCTGCTGGTGGCTCGGCGCGCAGGGGGCCAGCGTGCGGAGGGGTCTGAGCCAGAACAGACCTTCGTGGAGGGATGACCGGCCACGTGGGTGGAGATATCCGCGGTCGCGCGCCGCCGCCCGGTGCGCCGCGCGCCCCGCCACGGGGGGCGCACGTGAGCGATGGGGACCAGGCCCCGAGCGCATGGTTCCTGGACTGCGCTCGCCTGTTGCGCGCTTCGGGCGGCGACTGCCGAGGCTTCCCCCGCCGAGGTGTTTGGCGAGCTGTGCCGGCGCCCTTTGTGCGCTCAGTGAGACATGATGAAATGATGAAGCACCGGGCCACGCAGGATTCAAAGTTCGTGGTCCACGCGCTGGCATCAGTAGTTTCAGGGCCGAGCGCCGTGAGCGAGTCTCGAACGGGAACCGGAACCGCCTGACCGACGCGCCTGTTGGCGGTGGTGGTGGTGTGGGCGGGGGCGGGGAGTCGCTTGCAAGGGGGAAGGGTGGCGGGCGATGGGGGGGCACGGGCGGGGCCAGAATGACGAAAAGGGATGATGATATTTACGAATGGCTCGGGGGGGTCAAGGCCGCTCCTGTAGGTTAGAAATCCTTCTGGGCTTTCTCGGGCCAGCAGCATGAAAAGCAGGTCCGCGACCTTTCTCTTACTTTTTGACGCATGCCGCATCTGCCTGCATGCGGGTCCATGTCAGGATTTCTCTCCAACTGGGAGGGGATATGTGCAGCGGCGGCGCCTGCGCTGCTGTAAGATCACCGTGTTGTCGGCCTTGGAACGAAAAGGGAGAAGGACAGTATGAAAAATGGGGAGTTTTTGGTCAGGAAAATGATGCGGAGTTGATGATGTGTCGTTGATGGGCTTCGTGGTGTGAAATGTTCCTGGCGTGTGTGTGTATATGTGGTGGGGGGGGGGCGGGGAGATGCTGATGCTAATGCTGCTGCTAATGAAGATGCTGTTGATGATGATGTTGGTACAACTGGAGGCGCCAGCAGCAGCGGAGGCCGCCGAGTGCAACTCAATACGGCGCGAAGCCGACAGCAATGATGCAGATGTTGGGGGTTGCACTTAAGTAAAACGAGCACGGTGTGTGTGTGTGTGTGTGTGTGTGTGTTTGATTGCGTGCCGCCTGCCGTTGACTTTGACGTCAATGACGTCCCATTGCAGCTCGTCGTAGCGTCCGCGACGAGGGGCAGCGCATCCGCCAGCAGGGGCCACGAGGCAAACCGCGCGGGCTCACACACACAGTCTGTGAAGGTCGTGATGATTCTGCTGCTGCTGATGATGATGCTGATGAACCTGATGGTGAAAAGAGGAAAGCAGTTGAGCGTAATCGCAACGCGGGTCCACCCGACCTTCGTGAAGCTGCGTGGGGTGAGTCAGAGAAACATCCGGGTCGCAATAGAAGCTTGAGGGCGCGTTGTCGTCGATCGGGCCACAAGCAACACGGCCGCCGGATGGACGTGTACAATCGGTCAGCAGGGCAGCGACGTAGTTACTTTTGATGGCGGCGATGATGATACTGATGATGATAGTGATGACGGTTAAGATGATGCTGCTGATGATGGAGGAAGAATGGAAGACGGTGCGATGATGAACGCAATAGGTGTACATCTTATATCAAAACTGATATCATGCTCTCATTCGTCGCTTGTGACATCCAATTGTTGTTGTGTAGCCGGGTTTTGCAACGCATGCGCCCATGTAACGTAGCATGTCCAGTGAATTGTACGATGGAAGGTAACGAGGATAAAGCGGAGGGGAGGCAGGATGGAGGAGGTAAATAAGGATACTGAGTATGAGGATGGCTGAGGATGATGGATGACAGTAATTATTATGATGATGCTGGTGTGCTGATAATGATGGCGAAGAGGTCGGAGGAGGGAGAACATACCATACACAAGATCAAATTTGTGGTTTCATATCCTCTGGGTGTGTCGCGCCCAGAACGTTCTGCCGGAACTCACCCCAGGAGGTGTCGGCGGCTTTCCACTCGACTACATACCAGTGCACGGACTTCCCTGGGCGAGTGTAGGCGTCACGCATCGCCATGTAAAATCCGTTGACGACAAACAAGGAGTCGATCTTACCACAGTAGAACCCACCGCCGAACTTGACTTTGCCCTCGTTGAGCTTCAAGGGTGCCCACTTGATGCTCAACTGCTCCTCATCGAGGCCGAGGCGCCTCAT